GACGGAGTTCTTTTTGCAGTGAGAATGGATCTAAAGTTGTAAGAACAAATTATTTTGGGCCGTGCACGAAATTTAAGGCTACGGGCCTCGGAGAGCGAGTTTCCAGCGCTGGAAAGTTTGCGCCCTTCTTGGGCCATGGGCGGCATTCCCGCTACCTTGTCCGAGATATTCCCCGTGACTAATTTCGGGAAAGCCCAAAACTTTTTTTTTTTGCTTGCTTGCAAAAAATATTGCACTTTATAACTCAACTTTGGAGTCCCTTGAAATGGTTCTTTAGATGCCCCTGTGCAATTTTTGTTTCCGTTTGTGTGCATTTGCAACTTTGTGTTGGTGCATAGTCAATATCAAATCCAAAGTATCAGCTGACAGTGACCCTACAGTCAAAAAGAGAGATCATCAGTCTGGTCCTCTTCAATGCCAGAATGCCTATTTTGAGGGGTTATTATGTAAAAAATCTATTATGTTGACGGAGTGGGTGTTTACTTACCGGTTTTAGATGTATACAAAATTCTGTAATTTTGGATATTATTTGCATATTGGGGTCAAGTTTTTGCTTTAACCTATGTTTGCAAAAGGGGTTAAATGCATATTGATTCTTTTTTCGTAGGTTATGGAGCTTGCACTTTCCCTTCATCAGCAAGGTACGTCTCTCTTTTGCTTTTATTGAAACTGTTCTAATTTGTGCTTGATCCAAGTCTTGAAGTGTTTCTCTGCATCTGGGCATGTTACTATGCTATTGGAGATGGTGTACAAATATTCACATAATATAATAAATATGTTTACGATGACATTGGGATTTCGCGTCACGAATGAAATGCATTAAAAGATGTGTTACCTAGATCTGGTTTGGTAACCCAAGTCAGCCAACAGTTGTGGCTTGCTTCTTGCCAAAAGGGTACAAATATTGAGAGTTGGTATGTTGGAATTTAAGTATTGATTTGAAAAAAAAGATTAATCAAATATTCCTTTTAGGATTTATGATTCCACCTCCTTGGTGGAACTAGGGGGGTAACCGTCCTGTGGGGGGGGGCCCCTCTATTGAATATCTTTTAGGGAAGAAGGAGAGGATGGCATTTGGCATATCAGAGCAATGACTTTCAGGGAAGTAACATGCATGTCTATCAATGTTACTCACTATTAGTGTAATGACTGTTGGGACAAACCCGGGGCCTAATAGAGCAGGATCGCAGCAATAGTAGAGCAAAAGTAGAGATAAAAAAAGTTGGACACACAGATTTACGTGGTTCGGCACTTGATTGCCTACGTCCACGGGCAAAGATAGAAGAATCTACTATAAGAAGAAAAACTCTGGAGTTACAAACTCTCTCTCTTTTCAAGGAGAAACTCTCTCTATTGTTCTCTCTCACTCTTCTATATAAGAAGTTGTTTCTGGGATGAGTTTTTCCTTAAGGATTTGGAGCCTATTTATAGTTTTTAAAAAAACACTATACACAATAAAATATTAATATTTTACTGTGCATTTCTAAAATCTTCAAACTTCACGGCTGCTTTCGGTGTGATAATTTGAGGTGGGTCCCACTCCTTCTGTTTTCTTTTATAATTGTTAACAATTGTGGGCTTAGTGGATTCATATGGGCGGCTGATTGCTGACAATCTCCCACTTGAAGATTTGGTTGAGTATCAATCATATCTTCACATCATTCTTTCTATCTTGCCATCTTTATGTTGCTTACGTCTCCATCAGACCACAAGAGGATCTACACCAAATGAATTTGTCAGTATTGACTGCTTTTGTTAAAAAATCTGCTAGGTTGTCCTTGGTGTGAATTTTCTGTATATCCACTGTTCCTTCTTCCACTTTCTCACGAACGAAGTGGTATTGAACTCGAATGTGCTTGGTCTTTGAATGAAAGGCTGGATTTCTTGCCAAATGCAAAGCACTCTGACTGTCACAAAATAGAGAAATCTTCTTTTGTTCATAGCCGAGTTTCTCCAGCACCATCTTCAACCACATCGCTTCTTTACTAGCTTGTGTAGCTGCTACATACTCTGCTTCTGTTGTTGAAGTAGCCACAACTGACTGCAGTTTTGAAACCCAGCTTACAGCTCCGCCAGCAAGTGCAAACACATAACCTGTGGTGGATTTGCTATTATCACGATCACCTGCATAATCAGAATCAACATATCCACTGACAATAAAATCAGATCCTCCATAACATAATGCAACATTAGAGGTTCCTTGAATGTATCTTAGAATCCTCTTTACAGCATTCCAATGCTCTTTACCAGGATTCGCCATGTATCGACTAATCACTCCCACTGTTTGTGCAATGTCTAGTCTTGTACAAATCATCGCGAACATTAAGCTTCCCACTGCTGATGCATACGGTACTCGAGACATCTCCATCCTCTCTTCTTCACTGCTAGGACTCATACTGGAGGATAACTTGAAATTAACAGGAAGTGGGGTAGAAATTGACTTACAATCTTGCATGTTAAAGCGTCGCAAGATTTTCTTCAAATAGTTCTTCTGAGAAAGCCAAATCTTCCTATTAATTCTGTCTCGGTAAATTTGCATCCCTAGAATCTTGTTTGCAGATCCTAATTCTGTCTCGGTAAATTTGCATCCCTAGAATCTTGTTTGCAGATCCTAAATCCTTCATTTCAAATTCTCTAGCCAACTGAGCCTTTAATTCTTGGATACGATCTTTGTTGGGGCCTGCAACCAATATGTCGTCAACATATAACAATAAGATAACAAAGTTATTTTCACCAAACCTCTTGAAATATGCACAAGGGTCTGAATTAAGTCTGTTGTATCCAAGGCTCATGATGAATGAATCAAATCTCTTGTACCAACACATCGGCGCCTGTTTTAGACCGTACAGAGATTTGTTCAATCTGCAAACCAAGTTCTCTTTTTCTTTTTCTTCAAAACCTTCTGGTTGGAGCATGTAAATTTCTTCTTCAAGATCTCCATGAAGAAATGCTGTTTTCACATCTAGCTGCTCTAGATGTAAGTCAAATATAGCGCTCATAGCCAGGACTATTCGGACTGTTGTTAGTCGAACTACAGGAAAAAATATTTCATTAAAATCAATACCTTCTTTCTGAGCATATCATTTTACCACCAATCTAGCACGATATCGCTCCACTTGATCATCACCATTTCGTTTGATCTTATAGACCCATTTGTTTCCAATGGTCTTTCTTCCTTGTGGCAGTGACACAAGTTCACAAGTCTTGTTCTTATGGAGAGCTTTAATTTCTTCCTACATTGCTGCTATCCACAAAGATGCATCTGTGCCATTTATAACTTCATGAAAAGTTAATGGCTCTCCATCTTCTGTTAGAAGACAGTATGCAACATTACTCTCCGTAATATATTCCGAGTGCCAAGTCGGTGGTCTTCTCTCACGAGTTGACCTTCGAACTTCTGGAGCATCGGCCTCGACTGGTTCTTGTACATCATGCTCCGGTGTCGCTTCAGAAGAATTCAGATTATCTTCTACCTGAACAGCTACAGTCTCTGAGTCCTTCCTCGAACTGCTTTCTTTCTCTTCACTTTGTAGTTGGTTCTCTACAAAGATAACATCTCTGCTGATGATAACTTTGTGGGCAGTGGGATCCCACAGGCGATACTCTTTTACTCCATCAGCATACCCCAAGAATATGCATTTTCTGGATTTTGAATCCAGCTTTGTAATTTCTTAGGCATTGTACATTACGTACACTGGACTTCCAAATATATGAAGGTTGAAATAGTCAGCTGGTTTGCCAGTCCACATCTCCATCGGCGTCTTCAATTGTATTACAGTTGATGGAGATCGATTTATCACATAACAGGCGGTTTTTACTGCTTCCGCCCAAAAGACTTTTTCCAGATTTGCAGTAGCCAACATAGCTCTTGTTCTTTCCAACAGAGTTCTGTTCATCCGCTCCGCCACTCCATTTTGTTGAGGAGTATAAGCCGTACTGAATTGTCTTTTGATGCCTTCATGCTTGCAGAATGCTAGGAATTCACCGTCTGTGTATTCTCCTCCATTATCTGACCTCAAGCACTTGATCTTCTTCTCAGATTCAAGCTCGACCCGCGCTTTGTAGGCTTTAAAGACTGAGAACACATCCGCCTTCTTCTTGATAGGATACACCCAACATCTCCTGGAGTAATCATCAATAAAGGACACAAAGTACTTTGCTCCTCCTAAGGATGTAACTGGTGCTTGCCATACATCAGAATGAACCAGTTCCAGAATAGCCTTGCTTCTAGAACTCGATGTGTTGAACTTCAGTCGATGTTGCTTGCTTGTAACACAATGCTCGCAGAATGGAAGAGCTACCGAATTAAGTCCAGGAAGCAGTTTCTGATCGGAGAGAACCTTCAAGCCTCGTTCTGACATGTGGCCTAGCTTGCGATGCCACATCATGGTTTGTTCTTCTCCACGGCTGGTTGATGCCACACATGAATCAGCTTCCTGCAGAGTCTCTCCCTTGAGCATGTACAGATTTGCAGCTATCTTTTCTCCTTTTATCACCACAAGCGCCCCTCTAACAATCTTCATGACTCCATTTTCTATATGAGTCTTGCACCCGAGCTCATCTAATTGTCCCAAAGACAATAGATTCTTCTTCAAGCCCTTCACATGTCGCACATCTTGAATGGTGCGTATTATACCATCAAACATTTTGATTTTGATAGTACCAATACCACAAATCTCTAAGGCATGATCATTCCCCATGAATACAGATCCTCCTGAGATAGGTTCATATTTGCGAAACCAATCTCTCCGAGAGGTCATGTGCCAAGAGGCTGCTGAATCTAGAAGCCAGACATCAGCAAATTTCTTTCTGCCTTCATCAACAGTGGTTGCTCCACTGAATAGAATTTTACCATCCTCTGAAGTGCTGACAACGCATCCTTGAGATGTTGATGGCTCTGAAGACTTTTTATCTTCACTCTTCTTGTTGTGCCAACACTCCGATTTGACGTGCCCTCTTTTGCCACAGTTGTAGCATTTGATATTCTTCTTACTTCGTGATTTCGATCTACCATGGGCATGACTCCCACTGGAGCCACGTTCTGTTGATCTTCCTCTCATCACCGACAAGGCCTCTGCTTGCTGCGAACTTGTCTGCCTGTCTTCCTTGTTCTTGCACCGATTTTCTTCCTCCAGAACAGCGGCTGCAACATCGTTGAAGACTAGATTGTCTGTGAGGACGTTGTTCGTCAGGTTGATGATGAGTTGATCATACGAGTTAGGTAGACTCTGAAGTAGAAGTTCTGCACGTTCATTCGCACCAACTGTATATCCCAACGTTGTGAGTTGGGAGAACAGTGTGTTTAGGGTATTGATGTGGTCGGTCATCGATGTAGATTCCGCCATCCTCAGAGTGTAAAGTCTCCTTTTTAAGAAGATTTTATTGTGCATGGATTTCGCCTCATATAGCTTTGTTAGAGTATCCCAGATCTCATTTGCTGTCTTCTTCTCCTCTATGCTTGACAGTACCCCGTCTGCTAATGCCAGATGGAGATTTACAATAGCATTTTCGTCCATCTCGTTCCACTTCTTATCATCTGTGATGTCGTCCGGCCTTGCACTGATGGCCGTCAGGCAATTATCTTTTTTTAAGATAGCCTTTATCTTTAACTTCCACAGTGAGAAATTACTCCCGTCGAATTTCTCGATCTTGAACTTCGCCGCCATTGCTTCTATCACGAACAGTAACTTCTTATTATTTCACGTAAATATTACTGTATTTATGAACAGTAACTGTATCCGTGAATAGTATCGTATTTGTGAACAGTGTCGTACTCGTGAATAGTCCCCGTCACCTCCGAAGGGTAAATGATAACCTAACTTATTTTCTGATGTGGAGGATCCACCTTTGGTGGCAGTCACAGAGCATACGATAAGTAGATATATACAAGTACCCTAAGTTGGCTCTGATACCACTTGTTGGGACAAACCCGGGGCCTAATAGAGCAGGGTCGCAGCAATAGTAGAGCAAAAGTAGAGATAAAAAAAAGTTGGACACACAGATTTACGTGGTTCGGCACTTGATTGCCTACGTCCACGGGCAAGGATAGAAGAATCCACTATAAGGAGAAAAACTCTGGAGTTACAAACTCTCTCTCTTTTTAAGGAGAAACTCTCTCTATTGTTCTCTCTCACTCTTCTATATAAGAAGTTGTTTCTGGGATGAGTTTTTTCCTTAAGGATTTGGAGCCTATTTATAGTTTTTAGAAAAACACTATGCACAATAAAATATTAATATTTAAGGATTTGGAGCCTATTTATAGTTTTTAGAAAAACACTATGCACAATAAAATATTAATATTTTACTGTGCATTTCTAAAATCTTCAAACTTCACGGCTGCTTTCGGTGTGATAATTTGAGGTGGGTCTCACTCCTTTTGTTTTCTTTTATAATTGTCAACAATTGTGGGCTTAGTGGATTCACATGGGCGGCTGATTGCTGACAATGACTATACTGATAGGCATTAGTGATATATGCATGAAGACATTAGTGACAACATGTGTGGATAGATGTGTTATAATCAGGATCTTATTTATGTGATGAAGCTCTGTACAGATGTACCCTGTAAAGTTGAAATAGAAATAATCATTTTGTTGGAATTACCCTTCTTTATGGGGTTTAACTAACTTATGGTTTGAATAGAACTTAAGAGTAAGTTATCTCAGCACAATCACAAAAAAAAAATGGAAATTACAACACCTATTTCCACACCTGCAGTTACACATTGGTAGGTAAAAGTTGATATGTTGAATATCAGGTTTCATGCTTATTAAATAAAAAATTACTTTACACTGAAAGTAGGTAGCTAAACTTCACAAGCTGCACACAGAAACTTTGAGGTACAGAAGTGCTTTTATTAAGAGCTCATAGCAAAGTGTGATGACTGTCGAGCTTTCGAGCTAGTATTTGGAGCTTGAATGGATCTTTTGTGTATGCATCGGTTGAATCTATGCTTTCTTCGGTTTAAGTATTAATATGGGTATTTGTGGATATATCCAAATCTGTCTCCAATAGGATGTGAATATGAATTCAAATATCTATACCCGGTACGATATGGATGCAGAAACTGATAAACCAAAATATCTTCCTGTCCTGAAGAACTTTGAAGTTACAGTTAGTGGATTTAATTAGTATTTGATAACCTAGAGATGTAAACATTTTTATATCTGTCGAACACATTGTTGGAGAGAATTTAATTTTATTTAAACAGCTTTCTGTCGCGTGACCTGTTTATTTTCTAATCCTATCATTTTCCTCATATCCAGTTTATATCCATACGTGTTTTTCTTTATATCATTGTATCGGTGTTCGATTCTGGGATTTGGACTATCAGCTAGTCCTATATATAGACAATGTTATTCACATCTATATTTGTAATTAGTAAGCAAATACAGATATGGTAAGTACCATATCCGATCCATATCTGATCTGTTTGCACCCGTATGTGTATGTATTTTTTGTGGCAGTTATCTATGTGCAAATGTATATATATGGTTATAGTACATATATATACGTATACAAGCTATATTGTGTATATACCTGTCTGATAATACGACATGTCACATTTCAGCTCGGCAGGAGGCCCCAGAACTCCGACAACATCAACCTCTCCCAACACAAACACTCCGAACTCATCAGGCATTGGCGGCGACACGACTGGCACTGGTATCGGTGGGCTAACTCCGGTTGGCGGTCTTACTCCAGGAAACGGGCTAACTCCTAACACTGGATTCAACTCGGGCTTTAGCCCAACATTGCCTAATACCGATGACATATCCGGTGCCTGTTCCGTTCCGCTTCCTCTCCTACTCTTTACCTGCTTTCATTTTTTGTTATTGCTCCTACGGTAGGCGTGAGCAGACTTAGATACCAAAGTTTTGTGGTAGTCTTGATGCTGTTATTTATCAAAAAAAAGAATTAGTGGGTACTCAAAGGACATAGAAGTTATGAGTTTTACGCTTTTGGTGCATCTCTGGCTTTTGCAAGTGCAGAATCATGAGAAAACAAGTATGTTTCTGGTCAACTTTATCATATTTTTGTAATCTTTGTTCTTTGTTACAGATATTTGATAGATTTACATGGATGAGTTATGATCGTTATTCTTCTCTAAAATAATTCATCATATTACGTGTGAAGCATCTCTTAGAATATAGTTTCCATTTGGGATGCAATGTATTCTTTTGCATTAGCATCCCATGTATGGGTTATATATGGGTAGAGATCTTCTACATCCTTAATTACAGAAAATCTCTACAACTCGCTAATTAAAATTTCTCATTTAGTGGACCCATGAATGATATTAATTAATTAATTAATACATAAATATTTTTAATTGTGGGATTCACTAGAATTAGTCCACCTAACAAATTATAGACATTCTCTACAATCATCAATTAAGATTGTTAAGAATCTAGATCCAAAATATGCTTTTTTTTTCCTTTCAAAATCTCACTGTCTATACCCTTGTAGATTAAACCAATGTGGCAGACCATACTATATATTTCCAAGCAGTAGGATATCCATTGGATCTATTTAGTTATTTAGATGTTTTTTGGCTAACGGTTAAGTGAGGTGGACTTAACCCCTTCTTAAACCTACCAAACATACAAAATTAATACAATTGTTAAAGTGAGTTAACCCTTCGTAATTTGTCAAATGCAAAAAATATGAAAGAGTTAAGCTAACCCTTCTAGAGGGATCAAAATGAGTTAACCCCTCAAAATAAGGGGTTTACTAATACTCCTATTTGAAAGGATTTTTTTGAAAGGAAGAAGCAGGGTGAGAACCCCTGCGCATATATTTATATAACTGTAAATCCAAAACTATGGTAAATATATACAAATAAAAACATAAAGAGGAAGAAAAGGAGTCAGGAGAAGGAATTATCGGTTGGGAGCGGACCTTGTCGTCACCAACTAGATAATTTCTACACTGACTCCTAACTTCCCTGTGAGAAAGCGAAACAAACTGAAAACTGCAATAGGGGGAGAGATGGGGGTATAGTTAAGTTATTACAAAAGATCAAACCAAAAAAAACCAAGAGCTAAAGTTCTGAAGAAGCCACCACCTGGAAGCACCAGGATTAACTAGGAAAATTATCTCCAACATTATCCTCAAGACCATGTTTAGCCCACTGTTTGAGTCCAAGCTCAACCGCAGCACTGTGCATGAGGGAAGCTCTTTTGCTACTGGAGGCACCTTCTAAATAGAGGGGAGCCGATTGTCTCCCTAAAAGTTGTTATTCCCAAACATAAAACTGTCACAATGACTAAAATAAAACTTATATAGCAGGTTAATAATTTAATCCCTCAGATTATTTAATGGGCTAATTATGTTAATCATTCTCCTCAATCTTTTGCTAAAGGGGCCTAATTTTTTTTATACCAAATATTGCATTTTGATGATGTTAATTATCTCAATAAAAAGCTCAAACCGGGTGTTCTTTGAATAAATAAAATTAAATTTGGATTTTGTAAATAACTATAGTTAGGTCAGTTTTGAGATCATGACATGCACATTTCTTTGAGCCAACACAAGTCAATGTATCCCTTTTTTTTTAAGAGAGAATATCACGTTTTATTTTTATTATGGAAGTTCGTAGATTTGATTATTTCTTGTGGAGGTTTGTCGATTTTAAGATTTCTCAAACGCTCGATCACATGCGCATGCATATTACTCCCTAAAAAATTAAACAACGTTCAGAATATTGCGGTGTTATACAGCAAAATTATATTACTCGAAGAGAATCATGAAATTAGCATAGCTACCTAATTTGAATTGTTCACTCTGACAAGAGATCGACAAACTTAAATATTGGAATTATTGGGTAGGATATGCAATATTATCCAATGAGTAAATGAAAGAGCATTGATAACTATACTATTTCACCTAACCTACTTCCGTACATAACGAAGAAAATTGTGGAATCTTTTTTTTTTTAACTTTTTAAAATTTTGATCTAAACATTTTCCCCTCTAAAATTGGTAACTCATTAAGGGAACCCATTTCTCTGTTGTACGGAGTGGTTTCAAAAAGTGTGGTATATTTATAAATAGAGGAATTAATAAATGAAAACTATCAGCAGAGGATTGGGGGAATATTAGAGTCCAACAGGCAACTAGAAGTTATGATTAGTTGTACATAAGCATGAAATTAGGATGAATACCTACAGTTCATAATTGACCCTAAAGAGACGTAACCAGAAATTACATAAAAAAACAACTGCCATAATTATGAAATTGATGGATAAGATTGGGAATCATATCCAATAAGCAAATGAAAGTATAAGGGCCTGTTTGGTTGTGTTGATTTCCCTTAGCCATTAGGCTACATTAACTTTCACGCGTTTACATTGTTTGGTTGTACAAATAGAGTGCTGATGTGGCAGTAAAAAATCTCACTTGACAGCCTCTGACCAATTCCCCCAGGAACGTTTTGGAAAAGATCCTATCGAGCTGTATACACGTACATGCACCTTGCTCGACGATGTAGCTTAATTTTAGTCTATTTATAATGTTGAAAAAGATTAAAATAGTTTTATTTCTCTTAAAAAAAACTTTGCCCTCAAGTTTTCTCACATTATTCAAACTCATTGCCCTGCAGCCTCATCTTATTTCTGCTCTTAGTAACACTGTACAATATGCTAAATATACAAGCAATACTTAAACAAAAACTAGCCTTTCAACCGTAAATATCTTTTTATCGAACGTTTCAAGCTCACAAGCGGGGAAAATGTTTGGATAGGGAATGTCTTCTAGCTGCGGCTCAACTGCTCAAGTTTCTTTTCCATAAAGTTTGTTGTAGATTTGGGGGTGTTTGGTTACATTTCTATAAATTATAGGAAATGTTTTCCATCCCAAATTTGATTTCCTTGTATTTCTTAAAAAAATTATAGGAAAAGTTTTGAGAAGTTAAAAAAGTACAATTTTTTTTATTTTTTGTATTGTGCTTGTTTGGTTCAAAACAAGAAAATGAGAAATAACTTTTGGGAAAATAGCAACATTTCCTATAATTTATAGAAATGTAACCAAACACCACCAACTTTATAGAAAAATGAGAACTTTGTAGAAAAGAGTTAATGAGTTTTATTATTTAAATAATGAATGCGTCAGATTTCCAAGAGATTTCCTCCCATTTTAGAAGTAAATCAATTTCCATAAAATTTGGTACTTTTGGGCACTTTACAGAAAACATTTCTGTAAATTTTTTTGGAGCCAAACACAATTTATAGAAATGTATAGAAAACTCTTAATTACATAAATGTCATGCGTCAGTACTTTTGAGAAAACATTTCTCAAAAACAATACAACCAAACACCCCCTTATACTTGTATTATCTAGTTGCCTCTCGGAAAAAAAGGTATATAAACTATGAATATCAAATTAATGTCGGAAATATGGAAACATTTCCCCCCACTTTAAAAATGAATTGCTAATTATTAATTGTTATTATTGTTGTTATTATTTATTTATTTGATAATGCAGCAGTGTGGAATCGAACCAAGACCATGGTAGCTGTATTAAAACCTCTCAATCTTCCTTTATGTTTTGGTTTGCCATAGTTAAGAAATAAAGCCACGTAGTCATCCTTTTAACATTATAGCTAGTATAGCGCATGTGCATGACATGTGGATGAAGTGTTAAGTGTTTACATCCAATAGTACCTAAATTTAAAAGTGTGATGATTAGAGGAAAAAAATTAGTGAAGTTAAAGAATAGGATTAGGATCCTCTCCACTACAAAAAAAAAACAGTGGAGGGACCACTACATAATCACGGCCATTGATTATCTAATTAATGGTTGTGATTTTTTCTTTTAGTATAAATTAGGAATGAGTGCAATACACGGGAGTATGGTAAGTGTTAGATTTGAAGAGATGAGCTCAGGTTCAGATTTTGAGGCAAACAGGTTGGCGGTCGACCGGTCCGGTCGACCGCATTCGTGCACAGAAGCTACTGGGCATTTGGATCAGGGCCGGTCGACCGCCGCGGTCGACCGACGACTCTCTGGACATTGGAGCAAGCCGCTGGATGGAGGGCGGTCGACCGGGCCGGTCGACCGAGATGGATCGCGGTTGACCGTACCGGTCGACCGACGCTGCGGGTTTCAGTTGGGTTTGTTTTTCAGACCCGTTTCGTTTTGGATTTGTATAAATACCCTTTGGGTGTTTTTTAGGGTTAAGAGCAAGGACGAATTTGAGCAGATTGAGAGAGTTTTCTTTGGGCTTCTATTCTAGGAGCAATTGGAGAGATTGAGAGTTGATAGTTGAGGGTTTATGAGAGATTTGTAACCCTAGTTTGTTCCTCTTGATTTCTAATAGTGAAAACTCCCCCCTCCTTGCCCCGTGGACGTAGGTAACTTGCCGAACCACGTAAAAACTGGTGTTTATGATTGTTTGTGCTATTGTGGTTGTTTGGTTTATCTTTTCTCGGCGATTGTTTTGGTTTCTCGAGGCACAACAAGATTTAGATTGTATCATAACCGCCTACTAAATAATCAACGATTGAGATTAAAAGCAGTGATCTCTCCACTACTTTTTTGTAGTGGAGAGGATCCAAATCCCCCATTTTATGCCCTCCTACAACAGTGGTGGAATTTACTTCTTTTATTTGTCCATTTTGCGAGGTTCTCCATATTAGTTGGAAAATATGAAAGAATATTTTAAGATCAAGCAAACCTGGAGCAGCTAGCTAGAAGGGCTAGGAAAATATGTTGACAATATTTGCATGGCATATTTAAAGTATTTTATTTGATATATGGTGTTTGTAGTAGATTATAATTATAACAATTAATACGTTTAGGAGACTTTCGTCAAAATAGGCCAAGTTTTAGGGGTTATATGAAATTTATCACAGTAGAACTATCTAATTAATGAAAATAATACGAAGATACAGACGTATAACATAATTAAAACACACTTGCAAACAACCCCGCACACGACGGACCGTCATCCGCGTCACGGTTATCCGATGTCACTGAGAATTTATTTTAGAAATCGAGATAATAATTCTTATTAATTGGGAATTTTGTCAAATAGTGCAGCAAATACGTTTATTTACTTGAATATATTTATTTGAGGTGTTTTGTGCAAAGAGCTCTAATAGCTCGGTAGAAGTCATTTCTCCTTCTTAATTACAAATTTACAATAGGGTTGTGGTAAACACAGTATATTACTTTGTATCGAATGCTAACGTGACGATAGAATAGAAATAATGTAATCCTGCGCTCCTTCTACAATACACGACTAAAAAAGTATGGAATCCACTCTCTTCAACTTTTGCTCAATTTTCTTGGTTACTACTAATTGTAGTATTTAGTGAGCATCGAGATGCATGCATCCTACGAAAGTTCTCAATTTGACGTATCATAAAAAAAAAAACTTATATTTGCCACTCTTAGAAAAGAAATTAACAAATATTCGATTGAATACTTTCTTCGTCAAATTCAAAAAATAAAATAAAACAAAACAGATCATCATTAGATCACTTGGACTAGACCAATACACTAAGGTTATGATGATCAACCAAAAAAAAAAACAAGACTTTTAACGAGTGGCATAAAACCATTAAACCTTGGTGAAAAGTGTCATTAGCAGGCTCTACTGGAAAATTAATCAACATTAGATAGCCCGTCTGTATAAGCCTAAGGATAATGCAAATTAATTACCTGCCTATGATCAAGATTTATCATCGTTGAGTCCTTCGGCTGAGTAGATAAATGTCAAGAAGAATTTTTCAAAACAGACCCGCTTCAACTTTTTTTTCTTAAAACCGACCCGTTTTTTTTTATTTATCAAAACCGACCCGATTTTGTAATTAACAGCTTAATCACCATCCTAAACAGTCGGGGTTGGCAACCCCGACTATTTAGGAAGGTGTTAAACCCTAATTAGAAGCCTTAAACCCTAAAAATTAATGTCCTAAATAGTCGGGGTTGCCAACCCCGACTGTTTAGGAATGTGATTAATCTGCTAATTACAAAATCGAGTCGGTTTTGATAAATAAAAAAAAAAACGGGTCGGTTTTAAGAAAAAAAAGTTAAAGTGGGTCTGTTTTGAAAAATTCTTCTAAATGCCAATGATGAATGTCTTAAAAGGCATTTTGGGCGACTTGGATTTGGGTCCAGGATTTGGAAATCGAGGGTAATCCAAATCCAAAATCTACTGTTTTCTTGTGTTGGCCTGTAGAGCCTTGCTTTATTTTCCGCTCAACTTGAAACAGAATAAAATGAAATAATAAAATAAAAAAGAAACAGTCTAAAATCTGTAGTTAGCTGAATGAAGCACAGGGCCAAGCAAATATATTTTTTATTTTGGAATCAACAATTTTAGGTCCTCTTAAACTCCAATCAGAATGGTTCACCAAGCATAAACCTATGCCACAATACTAAGAAAAGATAAACAATAGAAAGTTGGAATTGTTCATCAAGATAAA